ACATGGATGAACTTGGAGGACATTATGGTGAGTGAGTAAGTCAATCACAGAAGAACAAATATATTATTAGTTCATTATTGTAAAAAGTCAAGGAAAGGTTTACATATGGAAGGGAATTTTCTTTGTTCATTACTAGAGGTGGAAGGGGAAGGGAGAGAACACTGAAAAAAAAATGCATTGACCCATGTCACTTTAGTTTTGTTTATTTCACTGTACATAAATTATATTTCAATAAAATGTATTTTAAAAATAAATAAGAAGTAGTTCCAGAATAAAGGCTTGTGCAATAAGGAATGAGTTTATGAAAATATCTCAAGGAAGTCTTCTAGCCAAAGAGAACAGCAAATGTAAAGGTCTTAAATCAAGGAAAAAGAGTGGCATATTCAAGAAACAAAAAGGTTAGATGGCCAGAGCATCCACCAAGAAATAAGACAGTAGAAGTCAGAGAAGTAGGCAATGCCCAGATCAGATACAGCCTTGCAAATTTATATTTTATTCTAAGCTTGCAGAAATGTTCTAGGAGGGTTTTAAGCAGGGAACTAATAAAACCTAATTTGTCTGTTCAAAAGATGACTCTGGAAGATTTGTGGAGATGGACTGTAGGTAAAACAGAATCAGGAAGACCTGCTGGAAGGTTATGGTAGAAGTAGTTTGGATTAGGTTAGTAGTGGTGGCAGTGAGATTTAGGATATATTATGCACACAGACATGGAATAACTTCTATGGTATATACAAAGTAAAGCAGAGGAATCAGGGACGAAACTTAACTTGAGCCAACTTCTGACCTGAGCAAAGTGGTACCATTAACTGAGATGGGAAAACCAGAGGGGGAAAAAAATAATCGAAGGGATGAGGATGGGGAGATTTTTGCTTTGGACATTTTAACTCTGAGATGCCTATTACAGCCAAGTAGCCTGAAACCACATTTAGAATTTTGAAAATGGAAGAGCCAGCAAAGGAAATTGTTCAGGATCAATGAACAAAATTGTAGAAAATCAGTGTGTGTCAAGAAGTCATGCAAAGATATTTCAAGAATGACGCACTCACCTGGGTCAAATGCTGACAACAGGTCAAGTAAGATGAAGACAGACAAGGAACTGATCAGTGTATTTGCTAAGGTTCCTACTGACCCTGACAAGATTAGTTTTATAGAACAGGTTAAAAATAGACGGTGACCAAATGAGGAAAGTGAGTACGATAAATCTTTCTAGGCATTTTGTTACAAAGAGAAGCAGAGAAATGAGACAATAGCTAGATGGTGATATAGGTTCAAGAGAAGGTTATTTCTTAGTATCAGGGATATTACACTCATTATGCGTGTGTGTGTGGAAATGAATCCAGGAGACAAAAAAATCAGTGATGTAAGACAAAAAGGGTGGATCATTGCCAAAGCAATGTGGAAATAGAAGATGGGATCCAAAGGACATATAAAGAGTTGGCCTTAGATAAGGGCAAGGATAGTTCATCTTCTATAAAAGAACAGAAAGCAGAGGATATAGATACGTCATGCAGACTGGTGGTTCTGCTGGTAGGAAGATGAAATAATTCTCTTTTGATTGCTTCTACTTTCTCAGTTAAGCAAAGTTATGAGCTTAGAGTAGGGCAGGTACAAATGTTAAAAGCTTAAACAAAAAGAAAATGTGAGAGTCATTTTGAAGACTGGCAAAATAATTTTACAGAGAACTGCATTCGAATTATAGGGCAGTACAAAGTGCCCACTTGAGAACTTGTGTTTATAAATCTTAAATAAGAATAGTCAGCACATTCACTCAAATCATTAAAAAAAAAAAAAAAAACTGTTAGCACAGTTGCCTTTCTCTTCCAGTTTTATTACGCAGGAGATAGTTATCATGTATCCAAGTAATCCTTTTCTTTTCCAGGTCAAATATTACCAAATCCTTCAACCATTCTTCCTTAGCCAAGATTTCTAGGATCTTAAATATCCTAGTCACTCATTTCTGGTCCTGTTATAAATTTGCCAATATTCCCCTTGAAATGGTATGCCAAGAATAGAATACTTCTGTAGATAAGATTAATGGATTATTTTCACTATTTTGAACACCATAACATACAGTCAGGAGCTCTGGTAGCTTAGTGCCTAAGGCACTCGACTGTTAACCAGAAGGCTGGCAGTTCAAACCCACCAGCCACTCCTTGGAAGGAAGGTTGGGCAATCTACTTCCATAATGATACTGCCTCAGAAACCCAAGGAGAGGTCACTATGAGTTGGATCCGACTCAGCAGCCCATAACAACAACAACATATAGTCATTATATACATTAACTAATAACAGATGTGACTAAGTTCTAACCAGAAGAGAAACTATTTCCTATTCTTGAACTAAAATACTGTATGTTGTTAGGTGCTATCCAGTTGGCCCCAATTCATGGCAACCTCATGGTTATAAGAGTAGAACTGCTCCATAGGGTTTTCTTGGGTACAATCTTTACAAAAGCAGTTTGTCAGGCTTTTCTTCCTTGAGTGCCTAGGTGGGTTTGAACTGCCAACCTTTAGGTTAGCAGCTGATCACAAACTGCTTGTGCCACCCAGGCTCCACTAAATACCTGACTTAAACACCTAACATCTAGCCCAGTTCTTAAATCATATTTGAACTGGGACTTTTCCAAATCATGCTAGTTCACAGCAAACTTTTCTTCTTTGCAGGGCTTATCATTTGCATCACTCATGTGGCACTGCTTTCAACTATTTGTTGTTGTTTTTCTTTTGCATGTGTCTTATCTCCTCAGTTGTAATGCCCATACCTTAAGAACAAAGATTATCCTACTTCCTTCATTACCAAGCCCATTGCTGTCAAGTTGATTCTGACTCATAGTGACCCTTTAGAACAATGGAGAACCGCCCTACAGAAGCAGATTGCCACATCTTTCTCCCATGGAGTGACTGGTGGGTCTGAACTGCCGACCTTTTGGTTAGCAGCCGAGCTCTTAATCACTGAGCCACCAAGGCTCCTCTTACATTTCCTAAATCTTTCAAAATGCAAGTGGATGCGTTTTGTTGCTGTCATTGTTGAGTGCCATCAAGTAGGTTTTAAATCACAGAGACCCTTTGGAACAGAGTAGAGACACCCCAAAGCATTTCCAAGGCTGTAATCTTTATGGAAGGACACTGCCACATCTTTCTCCCATGTACCTTTCAGTTAGCAGCTAAGTGCTTAACTAATGCACCATAGTGGCTCCCCAATGAATACATATTATTGTTAACTTTTGAAGAACTTTTTCCTGTGGCCTTAGAAACCCTTTCTTTACATACTTTCATTCTTAAAATTCTTATAAAAATTACTCTTTGATATGTGAAATATTTTTATACATACTTGGAGGATCAGTGCTTTCATCTCCAGGAGTGTCTGAAGTTGACAATAGCTATGAAACAGGAGATAAGTTAACAGGTAAAATCAGAAATCTCAGACCACCTGAACAGAGTAAAAGGTAAGTTTACCTTAATTAAATGTGCATATTTTTTTGAAAACTGAGTAAAATTTACAAACTTCACATTGCTTTGTTTTACCCTAATCATCCCATAAATTTTCCCAAACTTCACCTATTTCCAAATTAGAATTCAAGTGTTTCTGTAGTTTCAGTAAAACAGGAAACATTATTTTCTTATTCAATTTAGAAAGTCAGATTTCAATTGGAGTACTTGCAAAAGTTCCTAATTCTTAATAAGGTATTTTTTGTAGGCTTTTCCTAAAAAAATGATGAAAGAACACTAAAGACCCTTCTGCAACCCCTACCACTTGTTTATAAAGTAGCAGGTTCAATCATTTTTCTTTCAAAAAACAAAGAACGGTTTTTTAAAAAAGCTCAACAAACAAGTTGGTTACGTTAAAATTAAAGATATCATTAATATGGATATAAAGTATGTACTTTAACTAATAAGGAAACATATAAATACCACCTCTCACAATTCTTTTGTATTTATCATGTAGGAGAATCTAATGGTGTCAATTATAAATATTTATTTACCTGTTCAAGAAGATGAGGATATCTAGCTTGAATCTCATCAACAAACTTCTGCCCTTTCATACGTATCAAGAACTCACACCTAAAACATGAGGAAAATTATTTTAATTTTTTTTTTTTGGAAAATATAACCTGATCATTCTGGAAAAGTGGTTTTGAAACATTTTTTGTTGTATTCCTCACTAAAAAATACATTTTACACAACTCAGCTCTGGTGGCATAGTGCCTAAGGTATTTGACTGCTAACCCTAAGAGTGGTGGTTCAAATTCACCAGCCACTCCTCAGAAGGAAGGCTGGGCCATCTACTTCTGTGGCGATACCACCTTGGAAACCCAAGGAGGGGTCACTATGAGTTGTCATTGACTTGATGGCAGTGAGTGATAAAGAGTGAGTGCATATATCTAACAGCAACAAAATTCCCATAAAATAGTACAGACTCTTACTGTATGAGATGTATTCTGATATTGTCTATACAATTCCATTAACATAGCAACAATAACAAGAAGACCTAGACCCACAAAGAGTCATAAACCGAGACATGAAGATAATTAACTTTTTTCACCTAACACTGTAACTCAGTAGTCCCAATTTTCACAATATAGTAATTTTCTCCAGTGTTACTTATCAAATATTTTCATCTATAATGTGGGAGCTCTGGTAGCGTAGTGCCTAAGGCATTTGACTGCTAACCAGAAGGCTGGTGGTTCAAGCCCATCGGCCACTCTCTGCAAGGAAGACTGGGCAGAAATACTGCCTTGGAAACCCATGGAAGGGTCACTATGTGTCATATCAACTCGACAGCAATGAGTTTTGCTTTTTTTTTTTTTTTTTAATATACATATAATGTGACGGTTTCCAATTGTTCTTTACAAACTACTAGAGCTTCTCAAAGATGTTCCAGGGAGTTCACGTAACATGTATTTCCATTCCATTCCTTTTATTTCCTCAACAAATGGTGCTAGATGACTGGATATCCATATGCAAAAATAATCAACCTCAACTATGTCTGTAATATATACAAAAATAATCCAAATATGGATCATATACCTAAATATAAAACCAAAAACTGTAACATCTAGAAGAAAACACAGCAGAAAAATCTTTTTGTCTTTGGGTTAAATAAAGATTTCTTAGATAAAACACCAAAAGCACAATCCATAAAAGATAAAATTGATAAACTGACATAATCGAAATTAAAAACTTCTCTGCAAAAGACACTGTTAAGAAAATGAAAACAAAAAGCCACAAACTGGGAGAAAGATCGCAAAACACACCTGATAAAAGACTTGTATTTGTAATATATTAAGAACTCTCAATATTCAATGTCAAAGACATAGCTCAAAACATTATCTAGTCGAATTCCTAATTCTACTGATGAGAAAAGAAGCTCAAAGGGACCACATAACTTGTCCAAGTTCACAAAGCTACTTAATAACAAAGGTAAACTTTCAAATTTTATTGCCACTAACAACACCATGTTTAAATTATTCCTAGGTTTTAGTCAAAAAAAGGAAGCACTGCTAGAGACAGAGTGGCTAAAATATAAGTGACATATCATGAAAAATAAAACTGCACACAAAATAATTTACAATCAAACTTAGCAATAAACATCTTTGTATAAGTTAATTCATTCCTAGATTGATTTTATAGCCCTTCTCGTTTTTCCTTTTTCTGTACCTTTTTCTAATTTATGTTCCTTTTGTTTTATTTCACCTATCTTTAGAATCCTTAAAATCTCTTTAAAGTAATATGACCAAAAACAAAAAACCCATCCTATCAAATTGATGCTGACTTCAGGCAACCTAATGTGTTACACAGTACAACTGCTCCATAGGGTTTTCTTGGCTGTAATCTTTACAAAAGCAGTTCCCCAGGTATTTCTTCCAAGAAGCCACTTGGGTGGCTTCAAACTGCCAATCTTCAGGTCAGCAGCCAATGGCATACCAATTGTACCACCAAGCTCATTAAAGCAAGATGCAAAATACATAAATGAAATTTATGGCCATAATTGTAAATGAGTCACCATAATAAATTATATTCTGAGTATATGGCCTTTATAAAAGAAAAGAAGCACACAGAACCTCCAGAACTCCTCTCAATAAAATAATTAAAGTTCAGGCATGAAAAAGGCTAATTTCTACTATAGTAATAAAGACCAAAACCAAACTTACTGCCATCGAGTCGAATCCGACTCATAGCTACCCCTCCTTGGATTTCCGAGGCAGTATCACTATGAAAATAAATTGCCCCATCTTCCTTCCGAGGAGTGGCTGGAAGATTTGAACCGCCAGCATTCTGGTTAGCAGTCAAATGCCTTTGGCACTACACCACCAGAGCTCCCTAGTAATAAAGATGCATTATTATTTAAATGCAAAACTTCCACCATGTGAGTATGCCTGCTTCTTTTAACTTCTAGAAGTTTTGTATAGCTGAACCTTGCAAAACAATTACCTTGGAAACCATTTGGCATGCTCTACCCATGGATCATCTCCAGATTCCCAACACCTCAAACCACCATCACAACAAAAGCATTTGACATCATCGTTGCGACCTAAAGAAAATAAAGACCAAAACTGAATATACACAATATGTTCTACTGTGTGATCAACATGATCTAGATGAATCAACATGAACTAGATGAATGGATAGCCACATACGTTTCTTTCTTACCCACATAATAAAAACCAGCACTTGTAAGCTGCTCAGGCTGAACTGGAACACTCGATGGCCAGTACATAAATGTCCTCAGTCGAGCTGCACGTGTCTGCATGCTCAGATTTGAAATGCTAAACCTCAGCATTTCTAGAGAACTTCCCAAAAATGGACAGTTGGGAAAATGTCTCCGGTGTTCTGACATAGCATCATCCTTTGGTTCCCAGTTACTCAGTTTCCCACCACAGGCAAAGCAGGCGACCCTGTCTCCAGGGCCTATATAATAAAAGCCAGCTCTTGCCAAATCTGATGGTGATAAAAAGGTTAATGGCCACATCTTGTAGGAAAGAAATCTGGCTTCTTCAGTACTCATTGCATAACTGTAGGGATTAGTCCTCACAGGCGAGAGGTCTTCTACTGCTCTGGAATTAACAGGGTTTGATGAAAGGTTGGAATAAGAACCACTAAATGAGCCACTGTGTTCCAAAGTGGGAGATAATGAATGTGTAAAACTGTTTCTTATTGGAGAAGTATTCTTGGAGGTGGATCCCAGACTAGTAACTGAAACCAGATTCCGAATAAAGCTACAGCTAGGATACAGCTGTTTATGCTTTTCAATAGCGTTGTCTCCTTGTTTCCAGTTATCCAGCATCAGACCACAACAGAAGCATTTGACCTTGTCGTTCACACCAGTGTAATAAAAACCAGCACGAGCAAGACTCCTTTCTGAGATGGGAACTCCGGTGGGGAAAGTCGAATAGGTAGACATTCTGTAGAGTTCACATGAAAAGTCGTATTTCATTTTTTGTTTGTTGTTGCTTGTCCAGTTTGACAAGATCTTGCTATCTTCCATTATATTAATAAATTTTTGATGAGAGGGACCTAGAAGTCGTCTTTGGAAAGTAGTTTTGTGCATGAGAAGAAAATTGTACTTTTTGATGACTAAAAGCCTTCACATGAAACTTATCTCCACACAAAATTATATTTTTACCACAAAAAGGAATCAAATGATACCCCCCTACTTATTGAGAATTCACTACACCTTCTTTACTGGATTTATACCTGGGTGCATACTCAGGCATCCTACTAAATGGCTAGGTTACCTAATGCCTATTGCTCCTAGATTACCAATTCCACTTAGTACTCTTTGGGACTGTATCAAATCTTTTAGCTCATTCAAATAATGCTTACGTTTAATTTAGTGTACACTAACCTAATGGTCCAAAAGAAGTTGATGCACTTCTGAAAATACGATAAAGACCCCTGATTTTCAAGGAGGTCTATATTCCAAAACTTTTAAACTAAGCAACTACAGAATACTTGAATTATCCCTAGTTTGCTTTTCATTATGAGCTACAAAGCTTGGATACAAGAGAAAAAAAGCGTATGCATCAGGTTTCTTTCCCTATAAGCACTTAATATGACAAACAAAATTTTTATTTATTGATCATAAATTAATTAAAACCTTCACATTATCTAAACATTATCTAAAAGTTAATTTCACACAGCTTCTCATCACAGCATTTATTAATCACACAGTTAGCTTCAGTAACAACTTTGAGGAAGTCAACACTCACAAACTTTGTTAAACCTAAGCTTGTTATGGTGTATATGACATTAAATGAATAAAAATTTGTTTAAGAATTGCAAACTATTAACTCTTTCATCTTTGTTAAATATTTTCTCTATGTATTTCCACTTCCTACAGCATAATTCTCTTTCTTACGAACTTTGCATACCACTTTATATACTTGATCAAGCTATTTTTTCCATAAACTTAACTATTTAACCAGGAAATTTATACAGCAGAAACATTTTACATTGTATTTAAAACTTAAATAAGCTGTCGTTAATTAAAGGACCATGTATGAGTGTAGCATCCATTTTGTAATTAATGATGAAATCAATTCATCAAAAGATAGTTTGTCTTTTCTAGTGTTATCACAAATGCCTGACAATGTATTATTAATATTGCCAAAAGAATTACTGCTTACACATAATGTACTACTAATTAACCCTACTAGCCTTTCTGAAAATGTTTCGTATTTTAAATATGTAATTCATACACAAAATTACACTCCACAGAATTCAAACTATATCCCTTTATAAAGCTTCTGGGTTTCCATAATGGAATTTATTAGCGCAGAGAAAAAAGAAAGGAGACTCTTCAAGGCTGTAAAATCTGAAAAGAGAAAACAAAAGCTATTTTAGAAAACTTTATTTTCATGGCAAATAGATTCATCGACTTTAAAAAAAAAAAAAGTCTAAGAAGGATTTACAATTTAGACAATGCATCTTATTTCCAATAATCCGTCACCAAAACTTCGATGTATTGTTGTTGTTGTTAGGTGCCATCGATTTGGACCCAACTCACAGTGACCTCTCCTTGGGTTTCTGAGGCAGTATCACTACGGAAGTAGACTGCCCCATCTTCCAAGGAGTGGCTGGTGGGTTTGAACCGCCAGCCTTCTGATTAGCAGTCAAGTGCCTTAGGCACTACGCTAAAACTTTTATTAGAAAACTTCTTAACTGCAATAAATAAACGCAATGTATTCCCATTAACATTAACTATACATGTTAGAAAAATGTACAATTTTGAAGGCAGACCTTTCCATACCGGAAAACATTTTGTCCTTGTTGTCCTCACCTCTTCAAGTGACAATTTTTTAACAGTTTAAGGATAATATGCCTAAGGCACTTGACTGCTAACCAGAAGGCTGGCGGTTCAAACCCACCAGCCAGTTCTTGGAAGGAAGGTTGGGCAATCTACTTTGGTAGTGATACTGCCTCGGAAACCCAAGGAGGGGTCGCTATGAGTCGGGGCTGACTGGATGGCACACAACAACAACAACAAGAAGGATAATATCTCTGGCAGCTTGCTGGAGACAAAAGGGGGCAGTGGCAAGATTTCTACTCCTCATCAGCAACATCAGTACGGCAGCAATTAGACACATTTTTTAATAGCAAGCCTCTCCAGGACTAACTGCCTAGTCTAGTTAAGAGTCAAAATGCAACAGGAGCTCATTGCTATAAACACTTAAACTCAAAATTTCAAAGCAACAACCACGGAAAGCAATTCAAAAACAAAACATAACACAATGGCTGTGAAACACAGGCCTTGGGAATGTAAACGCTTGCAACGAGGCATTAACCTCAACAGGTCTCAAATATTTAAATTACATACTTCTATCTACAAGCACCGTACTGCTGACTCTGCTCTCCTAATACAAACTATAGCTGGGCGGGAGGGAAAGACTGGAAGGGAAAAATAAAGACTATGGGATTTACCCATTCATTTCCCGGAGTTCATTTTCACAGTACACAACAGACTACTTAAAGTGGCAAGGCGCAGTTTGAACTATCTGAAATAAGAGATCTCGCCGCCACAAGGCTTTCTGTCTTCGTTTAAATATATCAAATTAAAGAACATCGAGGGTAAAGTTTAAAACCCTGCAAAAACTCCTCTGGAAGAAAACTATCTTGGTCAAAATCCAAAGGTCGGAAAAGTGGGCGGCGGCCAGAATACGCCAGAAAACATGTCAATTTTTAAATATCACTTTCGACTTCCAAGTCTTGAAACCCGGGCTTCCGAATTAAATAAAAGCCGCAGCTAGGGCAAAGAGTAGAGCTCGCTCAGCCCTGGACCCTCGGCTGTGGGGCCCCAGACCCTGTTCTTTTTCGCCCGGCCGCAGCTTCAGGGAACCGGGCCTCCGCGGATCGAGCTCCACAACCCGCCTCGCCCGCTCTCGCGCGGCCCAGACGGGAAGGGGTTGCACTCACCGCAGTGCCGGCGCGGCAAAGACGGAAGCAATGCGGCAGCAGATCGACTGCCGTCGGCCTCCTCGCGCACGGGGGGCGATTCCAACGACAGGAGCTGAAGCCACGCCGGGTTCGGGTCCTGCTCTCCGAAGCCCCGGGCGAAACAGAGCTTACGCCGACGCCCAGTGACGTCAGCGCGCCTGGCCGAGGGCCCGAGTCATTCGGCGCCCGAGAGCGGAGAGGAGTCTACAGCCCGGGAGCGGGAGGAGCGCAGGTTCTGCTACAAGGAGACGTGCCTTCGGGAAGAACGCCGGGAGGCCCGGCGTGGACGCCCACCTGGAGCTGCGATGTCAGCACACGGGTGAGGTGGGACCACCCACATCAACTCGGTGTTTCGTTTTTCAATCTCGATGTTTGTGCACTTTTAACGTTTCCCTCTCTCTTCATTGCTAACATTTTACCTAGCGGGACGGTCAAACCCTGAGCTGTTGTGTTTGAATCTTGGGAAACCCTGCGGAAACGCCCCTGTGCTGGCGATCTTGCGCTTCTTCCGCCATGTCACCTCAGAGTTATGATCCCACCCCTAGCAAAATTCCACTAGTGTGACGCCTCCGCTCGGCGTAGATGTCTGCATTTGAGGATAGAGTCAATTCAGTGGCATTTTTCCTTCACTTAAGTAAATATTGTTAACCATGTTTCTTCATAGTGCAACTACGTAGTATTCTGTAATCTTTACGGATTACAGCGGTCAGCAGCTAGCCGCGTAAATTGAAATATGCTTACCTTTGAAATAATAGAAAGTGGAACAGCATCAGAAAATTGCTTGATTAATCAACCAGTGTATCATTTATTTTTTAGTTTTGTTTGTTTTTTAACTTTTTTTTTTAAGAGACATAGAGACTAACGAAAAGGTGTTCTTATTTAAGATGCTCATAGTTAGCAACGTGAATGGCATTTTAGGCCAGACTTCACTCCCAGTATTTTCTGAAATTTTAAATAAAAATATAATGTGTGTATGTGTGTGTGTGTGAAAGAGAGAGAGAGAGAGATCCGAGATCCCTCACTCAAAAAAAAAAAAAAAAAAATCCAAACTCGCTGCTATTGAGTTCATTCTGACACTCAGCGATCCCCCTTTGAGTTTCAAGGCTGTAAATCTTTATGGAAGCAAACTGCTTCATCTTTCTTCTCTGGAGGGGCTGGTGGGTTTCGAGCCATGAGCGTTTTGGTTAGCAGTCAAATGCCTTAACCACCATACCACAAGAGCTCCTGTGCGTGTTGCCCTGGGTGGGTCGAATTGTTTGCGTTTAACGGCTAACCTAAACGTTGGCTGCTGGAACCCACTCAGCAGAAGAAAAACCTGGTGATTTGCTTCCATAAAAATAAAACCAAGTAAACCACATAGAGCAGTTGTACTCTTACATACTTAAGTCACTGTGAGTTGGCATCTATGGGAGTGCAACAGGATATATATATCAAGTTGCCCTCTAGTCAATTCCAGCTCATGGCAACCCCATGTATGCAGAGTAGAATTGCACTCTTTAGGGTTTGCAAGGAACCCTGGTGGCGCAGTGGTAAAGCACTCAGCTGCTAACAGGAAGGTAAACGAACTCTGCCAGCTACTCTGCAGAAGATGTGACAGTCTGCTTCTATAAATAAAGATTATGGGGCAGTTCTATTTTGTCCTGTAGGGTCACTGTGAGTTAGAATGAACTGGACCACAACAGGTTAGTTTCCATTAGCAGTCATTTGCACCACCCAGGTTGTGTGTCTCTCTGTATGTATTATATATAAATATTGTTGTGCCTAAGGCACTTGACTGCTAACCAGAAGTCTGGTAGTTCAAACCCACCAGCCACTCCTTGGAGGGAAGGTTGGGCAATCTACTTCCATAGTGATACTGCCTCAGAAACCCAAGGAGGGGTTGTTATGAGTCAGATCTGACTCGATAGCACATAATAACAACATATATCTAATTTTTTTTTTTTTTTTTTAGGGATGGGAATAGTCCCTGGGTGGAACAAACTGTTAAGCACTTGAGTACTGGCTAAAAGACTGGCATTTTAAATACACCCAGAGGTACTCTGGAAGACAGGTCTGACAGTCTGCTTCCACAGGTCACAGCTGTGAAAACCGTATGGAGTATTTCTACTCGGCATACGCGGGGTCGTCGTGAGTCAGAATTGACTTGATGGCAACCAACAACATAATTATTATTCAGTGAGTGATACATATTTGCATGATCCACAGAGGAGTCCATTTATCAAAATTTAAATAGTTAAGTGTTAGAAAAGAAATTATAAAATTTTAAAATCTTGCTTTTGCTTGGGTATAGACCTTTTGTCTCACCACTCTTGCGTAGTGCCTCAAACACAGCATGTAATAAATGTTTGTTATATTGCAGCAAAACCAATT